CCTGTGATCCCTCGGGGCATGCTACTGTAAAAATTATACCATTATACCTGGTGACCTATTGGCTCCCTTTTTTTGCAGCATTAAACTCCAGAGCTACTGCATTTATAATCCATTGTGTTCCCCTTATGCTGCTCAGTTGCACCAAATATGCCAGAATCCACACTAAAGTTCGGAAGGCTAAGAGCGGGTGGGAAATTTTGCTTCACAATCATAGATGGAAAATGTGTTGGGTTATCTACTCTAGCTCCCTGCCAATGCAGGATTATTCCCTATTGTACGCTTACTAGTGCTTTGTCCAGGCTAGTTTTAAACCTGCCAAGTGACAGGGCTTCCCCTGAGACACTGTTCCACAGCCTGATAGCTCTCACTGGCAGCAAGTTTATCCTGCTGTTCAAGCTAAATGTCCCTGTCTTAGCCTCATTCCATTCTTCCTCCTTATGCACTCTGACCATCCAAATCCCCCTTTTCTCATAGTTTGCAAACTCTCTCTGCGTGCAGACCGTTTCCATGTGCTTTGTAAGCCAGCATCCTGACTGAGGAAAGGGACTTTACACTTGCTCTTTGTTTCTTGATTTCCAACACCTCTGAGGTAGCTGTGAGAGCGTACTGGGCAGCGTGTGCACGTTAGCATCCCCAAACACGCCAGAATGAGGAAAGAAAGTCACAAACCATACAGACTGCGGTTTCCTAACAGTGAAGTTTTGTCATGTTTTATTTGCATCAGGATGTGCACTATTTCTGGTGCAGTTGAGTAGCTTCAGCTAGGATGGTACTGAAGAACTGCCGAATTTGCCAGCATTAATGCTATTACTTGTTGATGTTACTGTAATAGGGATGTAATAGTGTCGTCAATTAACTGATCAGCAAAAGCATATCGGTTAATGATAGACTATCTGCATTTCCCTCCCACCCCCTTGTCAGTAAATTTTTTTTTTAGCAGGCTGGCCTGCAGTCCAGCTCAGTCCCAGCTTGCACTGGGTCCGGGACCTACCACTGCTGCAGCTCAGCATTTAAAGCATATTGGCAGGCAGGCAGCCTGTCTTGTGCTGGGTCCGGGAGCTCAGACTTCCCTCTCCCCGCAGATGGGCTGCTGCCTCTGTATCAGAGGCTGCAGCACAGGGCAACAGGCAGCCAGTCCATGAGGGGAGGCAGTTTTTAAACTGGCTCCCCTTGCAGACCAGCTCTCACCTGGCAGGGGGCTTCCCGGGAGTGGGGCAGGAGTGCACTGGTTTCTGGACCCGCCCCCAGGGTCTATAGAATAGTCGACTAACTGATAAGAATTCATGAGGTTAATCAACTATTAAATTAACTGATATTTAACATCCCTATCCTGTAATCCATTTAAGACTTGATCCTGCAGTCACTATGCAAGCAAACCCCTAGTTAAGTAATCAGGAGTTTTGCCCATATTAGGTGTTCAAAATTGGGCTCTTGGTCTTTATTTTAAATAACTAGCCTGCCAAATTCACATTCAAGTTCTGCAGAAGACTGAGTCCCGAGAAGAGGCGATTAGAAGAATACTGCAGGATGTTCAGGGAACATTTGGGGGAAAAGTGCTTAGAACAGAGAGGGAACATCTAGCTATATTTTTTGTTTAACGTTGTTAAGAGTAGGGATGTTAAGGACTAGTCAACTTGTTGACTATCCGATAAGCAATCAACTAGTCGATTTCCCTCCTCCCCCGGCTTCCTCTATCAGATAGAGGCGGGAAAGGGGGTGCTTCAGAGTGGCAGTACCGCACAGCTGAGCTGGGGATCAACTTTGCGGCTGCCCCCTTGAAATCCTGAGGTGGTATTTCCATGGAACTCAGGATCAGCTTGGGAGTCCCCAGCTGCGTGTGGCATTTCAAATTGGCAGCGCAGCATGGAGCCCGGGGTCAGCGGGGGACTCTTGTACATTTCAAAGCTAGCACGCCGCGTGTAGCCCGGAGTCAGCAGGACATTCCGCTGGCCCCGGACTGCATGCGTAGTTCCACATTCCTCCATTGAAATGTACAAGTGCCTATCAACTAGTTGAGTACTGTAGTCGATGGAAATTCCATCAACTACTTGACTAGTAAATTAACCGTTACTTAACATCCTTAATTCAGAGTTACATGGGTAATCATTACAGATAGATACATAGGAATGGGAGAATTGTGGATAAACAAGGATCTGGTCAGTGTTCAGCAATTCAAAAGAAGTGGAAGCTTATGACTTTCTAGTAGTCTATTTCGGACCTTATCCTGCCACCCTCAAGAAGAAGCATCACCTCACTATTTCACAATGCAAAGGGTGCATTCTGCTACACTAACACACAGTTAAGTTTGGAAGCAGTGCTGATGTAGCTGTGTTGCTCCCAGGACATTAGAGAGAGAAGGTGGGGGAGGTAGGTGCGTGAGCTGTTTTTGAGCTCCCTGTTGGAATCCGTGGGAGTAGGTTTGTGTTTTTCTGAGCATCTCTATAATGAAAGACACAAGCAATTGGCAGCGGAAGGAGGTGGGGATTGGAAAAAGATGTGAAATACAGGGGCTTGAAGGGCTGATTTGTGGCTGAGGGTGAAAAGAACAATGCAGGATGTGTAGCAGGATTTATTACTGAGGAAATACAATAACCAACACTGAACCTATGTATGCATTACCGCAGAACGTTGACCTAAGGTACACAACTCCAGCTAAGTGAATAAAGTAACTGGAGTTGACAAACCTGACGTTGATTTATTGTGGGGTGTATACTGCACTGGGTAGGTGGCGGGGGGGAAGGAACTCTCCAGTTGACTTACCCTTCACATTGTAGGGCATGGTAAGGTGAGTACAGGGGGTCGATCGCACAGTGATCTGCCGTTGATTTGGCGGGTCTTCACTACACCCACTAAATTGACTGCTGGTGGTTCAATCTCAGAGCTTTGATCCCCACTGTAGTGTAGATGTAGCCTGAGCATTAGAAGGCTTTAGCCACACAAAGGGAGAAGGAATTGCTCAGAGTAGGCCAGTGAGGCATTGCTAAAAGTAAGACATTTCTCAGAGCACAGAGAAGCTTAAATTGGGATAAATTCCTACTCGAATAATCTTCCTAGGGCAGTGGTCCCCAACCTTTTGAGGTTGTCAGGCGCCAGGGGGCGTGGCCGTTTGCCCGCCAGGGGGCAGGGACACTTGCGCGCCCGGGGGCAGGGCCCCCCCCCGAGGGCCGCGCGCCCGGGGGTGGCGCACGCTCCTCCCGCCAAGTGCCGCGCGCCCGGGGGCGGCGCGCTCCCCTCCCGCCGAGTGCCGCGCGCCCGGGGCCGGCGCTCCCCCCCACCGCATGCCCGGCGCTCCCCCCGCCAAGCGCCCGTGCGCCATGTGCCCAGAGCCAGGCCAGCCCCGAGCACCTGGCGGGCGCATTGAAATGCCCCCGCGGGTACTGTGTTGGGGACCACGGTCCTAGGGGAATGATGGACGCACCATCATGTGATTCATTGAAAATTGGAAAAGATCATCACAGTGCAGTTTTACTATGAGTAGTGACTATGGGAAAGTGTTATCTAGTTACTTCGAATACCTGCTTGGTATTTGAATTGTATCCGCGAGTAGCACGTCATCCAGTACCCACAGAAGTCCGGGAAAAAATCCCGTCTATTTCAGCAGGTTTGGGATTGGATTCTAATGTTACAGTTTCACTTCTTGTGTCTCCAGAGCCAGTCGTCCTGAGGGGATGTCTACAGTGAAACTGAAAACCTGCGGCTGGCCTGTGCCTGCTGACTCAGGCTTGCGGGACTGGGGCTGAGGGGCTGTTTAATTGTGGTGTAGATGCTCGGGCTGCAGCCCAAGGCTCTAAGACCCTGCAAGGTGGGAGTGTCCCAGAACTCGGGCTGCAACTTGAACTTAAATGTCTGTACTGCAATTAAGCAGCTCCTAGCTCAAGCCCCGGTCATCTGGCATGGGGCAACTGTGGGTGTCTAATTGCAGCATAAGACATACCTTAAGAGACATCTGGGTTCAATTTCTTCCAGTGCTTTGTCAACAATTGTTTATCAAGTATCAGTTGGTTGCACTTTTGCAAATCCACTTGTAGGCAAGGGGTTGCTCACATGTCCTTGAAGGCATCATTTGGCTTGCAGAAATTTTTAGTCCTGATGCTAATGCACAAGGAAGAAAAAAAACTGTCTGGATTCCAGGTTGAGTTT